AAAACCAGAGCAGTTTGCACACATTGGGCCTCATTTATGAAACTTGTCAGGGTGTAAATGAGGCGTTCGCAAAAAATGTACACTTTTTGGCATTTATCAATCTGGACGTGGGCGTACGGTACGCACAAAATATACGCCAAGTCAGGAGGTGGTGTAAATGTGTACGCTCAATTCAACCTTCATTACAACACGCCAAAAACGAGCATGAAATTAAAGATTTAGACAACAATAAACATATTCCCACTCTGTCAAAATTATAAGCTGCGTTTTCATTGAGCATCACATTTCAAAATTTGAATTTGCACATCAGAAAAACTCTAACACTCTGGAAACAAGCAAACTTCGAACAAATCACAGTTCATGATGAGGACCCTCTTCTGTTTCTTCGTTTGACTTGACTGTATTATTTTCATCTGTATGTTTTGTTCTTGTTCTTTGTGATCCTGGTCTGTGAAGGCGCTATACAAATGCACTTGACTTACTTACTTACTTAATGTGTGACCCGCCCTGCACTGCATACATTTGTTTAGCCTCATTCAAAGCAATGCATTTTTCATTAGTTTTGTGCATAAAACCCCATAAACGGTGTCACTCAAAACTGTCTCAGCCACTGCCCTGTCCACATGTAGAGGGTGGCAATGCGCTTATCTGTAGGGACGGGCTCATGAGCAGTGGCTCTTTGGGCAGTGCGCAGTGGGTGCCACAGAGGTCCCACCGCATAACTCGTCATATGCGGTGCGCGTCATTCACACGTTTGGATCCAGAGTTTCTCTGTGAAATCACGGACACTTCCCAAAAGCTTACGCATCATTTCTCTCTCACAGAGATCGCTCCATTGCACTCACAAGAAGATTCCGCAAATGCTTCACCCAGTTAATATTAAGATTCCTTCATTTATTCAGTCATTGATTCATTATTCATTCACTTCTAAAGTTCAAGAGAGATGAGTGCTGCAGTGAGTCACTATAGGGAAAAACGCGTATACAAAAATTAGCGTATATTTCTTTTTAAACAAAATTGTAAAATAAAACTCATAAACTCAGTGCGTGTCAGTAACCCTTTTGAGGCTTCCAAATGGACTTGCTGGCCGGCTTCCATGCTGACCTGTCGTAAAAACGGGGCGTGAAACAGGCGGTTTCTGAATATTTCTAGGCGTGACTTTTATAATTACGCTGGTTTTGAGCGCGGCATTTATCAACAGCCGCAGCTGCGTACGCTCAGATCTGTGCGGATTTCACACGTTCATTAATCCTGCGTTGGATTTTGCGTAAATGTAATCTACACCAAAAATATACACCCTTTTTTGCGCAAGTTTCATAAATGAGGGCCATTGAGAGGTGGAGCTAGCATCTAATACTACGAGTTTGATGCTGCGGCACATGAGGAGGAAGCATCGAGGGACAACCCGAGACGAGGTAAGTCAACTTTTATATTATGGTGTAAGGCAAATGTAGTGCTAGTAAAATGTTATTAATTATGATAACACAGAGGGGTTTTCCCACTCCTGCGAAAAGTCTAAGCGGCATGGTTGAAGCGAGTGCGTCTGGGGAAGAATGTCTCGGACTCTCGGATTATAAATACAGGAGCCCCACAGGGCTGTGTTCTTTCTCCCCTGCTCTTCTCCCTGTACACCAACCACTGCACCTCCAGCCACGACTCCGTGAAGCTGATCAAGTTCGCGGACGACACCACCCTCATTGGACTCATCTCCAACAACGATGAGTCCGCCTACAGGAGGGAGGTGGACCGGCTGGTGTCCTGGTGCAGTGGTAACAACCTGGAGCTGAACGCCCAGAAGACAGTGGAGATGATTGTGGACTTCAGGAAGAGCACTGTCCCCCCACCCCCCGTGATGGACTCCCCCATCACCTCTGTGGAGTCCTTCCGTTTCCTGGGCACCACCATCACCCAGGACCTCAAGTGGGAGCCGACCATCAGCTCCCTCATCAAGAAGGCCCAGCAGAGGATGTACTTCCTGCGGCAGCTCAGGAAAGCCAAGCTGCCTGCACAGATGTTGGTGCAGTTCTACACGGCCATCATCGAGTCCATCCTCACCTCCTCCATCACCGTGTGGTTCGCTGGAGCCACAGTCAGGGACAAACGGAGACTACAGCGCATTGTGCGCTCTGCAGAGAAGGTGATCGGCCGCAGCCTTCCATCGCTGCAGGACCTGTACGTCGCCCGAGCTCGAGGCCGGGCTGGTCGTATCACAGCTGACCCCTCTCACCCTGCACATGGACTATTCCAACCACTCCCCTCAGGCAGGAGGCTGCGGTCCATCAGGACTAGAACCTCCCGCCACAAGAACAGTTTCTTCCCCTCTGCTGTTGGACTCTTGAACACTTCTTAACCTGTCCCCCCGCCCTTTATAAAGTCACTTTACTGCCCATCATACGTCACTTTACTTCACTGTACTGCTGTCACCTTACATTGTGTGCACCATGTGCACTTGTATATTGTAAATAGTAACTGTAACTCTATTTTAAATTTAAATTTATTCTTTAGAAGTGCTTTTTATTCTTATTTTTATTATCTCTTTCTGACTGTTGCACTGAGCCAAAGCAATGACCTCCTGTTACTTACGTGGCAATAAAAATGATTCTGATTCTGATTCTGAAAATGATCAATGTTGCCGCTTGTCGCTAGTGATAAAAGCAGAAAGGTTTATCAGTACCTACATAAGTCATGTATTATGAATGTTTTACATAACTTGACATTCACTACAATTCTTGTACCAACTGGTATTATACTATCCCACAACAGTTATATCAACATAATCAATTGGCCTGTATGAACACCGTGGACCAAGATCCATCAGCAGTTACAGAACATACGGCACAAGAGAAGTGAACTATAACTTTAAACTAAAATAAAACCAAAGCTCTAACTTTAGCATAATAAAGAAACAAGTATAAAATGCTGTGCATTCGAGTGCAGAAATAAATAGTTGTATGTTTACATCTGTACATGTTGGCAGCATGAGGCTCTGGGACACGGAGACTCGGTAAAGTGTCAGAGGCCACATGTGGTTCTATATTGCACATTATAATTTTTGCACAGATGTACGACAGTGAGGTCAGCAGTGTTTGTTACCCAATATAGGACTTTCAGTAAACCATCACAGGCTGTTTGGGACCAGTTCCTGTCAAAGTTCCCTCTTGCTCCCAGCACAAGCAGCTGTTCTGACAGAAAGCATTTTAAACATGCTGCTCAGACATAGCCTGACTCTCGCCAGACCCTTGTAGATCGCTGCACCTCTCACATGGGACTTGGTCTGAGCCATAGCGGTTGGATTTCAGAAAGCAGGGCCTTCTAAAAAAAAATCCTTGTATGTGATTGGATAAACCACTTGTCCGTTTTCTTGAATGACGTCTTCCTTCAAACACTCACATCGAAGCACACGACTCCCATGGGTTGCCAAATGCCGGCAAGATCTTGGATTGCTTTTGCTGCAGCATGAGACACGCTTGAGAAGGCGGCGCAAACCCGATGTAACACCAGCGATCCTGATTGGTCGATTATTTTCTGATCTGTTGAAGGAGTTTGGTATGCGCTTGATCCCAGCCCCGGCGATCCAAGATGGCGCCGTATTCAAATGAATGGTTGTGCTCAGTGGCGCTTTGTGACGGCATGGGTGCCGAAAAGATTAGCGGAAGTCGCCTGGAACTCGCAAATATCCATGGGAAACTCGCCTGTATTTGGGCATCGTCTGGTCCTCCCGGTTCTGCGCAGTGGATGATCTCCCATGATGCGTTGCGCCAAACACGCGTGTGTGGGTCTCACATTGGGTCTCACGCACGTGCACAGAGGGGCTCAGCCGCGCTCTGACCAATCAGAGCAGTTCATCAGAGTGGGAGTTAGAGCGAGAGCCAGATGAGCAGAGTTTGTGGCACTAAAGTATGGAGGTGTATGGAGCTATAGGTTCTCTGTCAGCTGAGGTCGCGCTGTTTTAATTTACAATTTACATTGAGTTCTATGGGGAAAATTTCTGGGTACCCGCGTGAATTTTGTCTGGTCTAGTCTGCAGTACCGCGAGAATCCCCCGAGCACATGGGTTATTCAGCTCCAAGCTAGTAATACCCTATCCAGTTATTATAATGGATCCATGGCTTGATCCCAGACCCTTGTGTGTGAAGCGAAACGCCTCTGGTGGAGCATGGCGGAACTACAAGGGTCTGGCGAGAGTCAGCTCAGACATGCACTTCATCTGATTTTGTTCGATCTGAAAGGACTTGAAAATCAGCCATGGTATAGGTGCAATCACAGCTGACTTGTCTTCATTTTTCGACGATATGAATACAATAAACAGGATACAATTTAAAAACTGTAGTCATTAAGTGGTTTTCATTTGATAATGTATATTTTTAATTAGGCAAAAAAATGATACATTTTTTCTCGATTACTCTGCAGCTCTATTTGGTGCTCCCATAATTATCATATAATGCATTTGAAATCAAAGGATCTAACACGTTGATCCACTATTTGAGCAACATCAGCAGCAGATCAAGTTAGCAATCAGAGGCTTTTTTCCCTTTGACCAGAGAGAGCAGAGAGAGACCAGTGACACTCGAGAGAGAGAGACCAGATAGAGAGACCAGAGAGAGAGACAAGAGAGGGACCGGAGAGGGACCAGAGATAGAAACCAGAGGGAGAGCGACCAGAGAGACCAGAAATGGGGAACTATTGTGTTTTATGTTTAGTGGTTGGGGATAATGGAGCACTAGGAGGAAACCGGAGAAGATACGGTGAGACAACCGGTTTGCCCAAATGAAAATAAGTGAATATGGGATTTTTGGAAAAAAATATTTATAGAGAAAACGAATACAAATTACTGAACAGTTTTGAGCCACAAGTCAAAAAGCAACATTGTATACCAAGTATCAAAGAGATGGAAAACCGTTTGATCTGCCACACGCCCTCGTGACGCTGAAGGTGGGTTTTTTTTCCGATAAAAGCAGCATCGGTCGCAGACCAAACTCAAACCCAAAGAATCTCCGAACATGGACCTGAAGATCGTCTGCTTCCTGCTCCTGCTGTGTCTGTGTGAAGCTGCTCCTCGTCGAGGTAAAACTGCAAACGCTTTATTTTTCTTTATTTTAATATGAAAAAGATTTAATTTCAATATATCTGATCTCAATGAAGTCGATGCAAGTACAACACTAAAAAAATGTAATAAAAATGTAATACAAATATAATACTGCGAATACTGCATATACTACCAAAACTACAAAAGGAAGATGAAGATCAGAAAACAAAATGGCCATGTGTGCACGCAAAAGCCAGATCCCATCAGAGCTCTTAGGGCAGGGCCTGGTGAGTACTGTGATGTGATATAAATATTTCAAATACTACAAACAATACATTCAAAAAAAAGTACCAGCCCCTAAGAGACAATAAAACTGGACGAAACAACGTAAAACACGTGAATATTGTTGAAAGTGATGAATTGAATATGGCCACACAGGAAGAATCTCAGATACAGCAGACAAAGAAAGGTCCAAAGGTGCTGCCCTGGGGTGCCCCATAAGTTGATTTAACTCACTGACTCTCAGGCATTTTCAGATTTGGGAAGTGTGTTCTGCCAACGTTTTCAGGGGATTTGACACAACTTGGAAGAGCCACAGAATAATCAAATTAAAGATGAGGTTCTCTGCTTTAATCTGAAGAAAAAAAAACATGACATGGCAATTTGTTGGTAATTTATTCACAAAGACAGAACATGTATCTTTTTCTAAACTATCAACTGAAATACAAAACAACAACACATAGATAGGTAATAGAACTATAAATGTATAAAAAAGTGTGTGATTTTGTGAGTGAGTGAGTTTGAGTGAGTACGTGTCACCATCTTCACCTCTTATCCTGCCACGCCACCACAGCCATCTTCCCATTGTGTCGTACAATCCGGTCTCCAACATGAGTTTCTGCAACCTCTGTTATGATTTTTGATTCACTTCGATTTTTCCTCACACATTTGTTTTCTTCATCAGTAGATGTTCACCGAGTGATACAGAGTTATAGAAATTGTCCATGAAAAGTGTGTAGAACTTGGAGACGATCCAGAAGGGAGAAGACTGTGTCCTCCAGTGCGAGCTTATCCCAACATTAAGCCTACAGTAGCGTACATCGACAGAGTAACTGGAGACAACTAGTTGCAAGGCGGCTTTTGGCAACTGAGAGTAGATGATGGGAGATGGTCAGTTGCCGAAATCGGTCGATGTTACAACTGGAGATAAACAGTCGATCTCCGGTTTCAGTCAGTTGCCCGTGTTCTACTTTTCGGCAACTATTGTCCTCAGATCTAGAGATATCGCCCGATGTGCGAGCTCCAACAACATGTGTGTATTGCGCGCCCTCTACACTTTATGCCAGAGAACACACTGTAGTTGACGGCCAGTTGCTGTCAATGTACGTACTGTTATTCCCGAGACTGGCCTGCTACTAGGAGTTGCCCGTTTTCGCCAGATTGTCGATGTGTGCGGGGCAGCAACTCATATGCGACGGATATAATCAGTTGCCAGTCCGATGTACGTTAGGCATCAGGGAGCATTTTGTGGCAGTAGCCTGTGGCTATAAAAGATGTAGGATTTTATCCAATATTTGATTGGCTTCTGATAGTTGTACCCCCCCCCCCCCTTGTAAATAATAGGAAAAAGTAAATCACTTTACCAGGACAATATACAAATAAATAATTTATACAATGGTTATGATGGGGATTTATCTTTGCTTCTTGCTCTGCCAACCCCAATGGGTGAGGGATTTCTAGTTTTATCAGAACCTGTGAATGGAGAGCACATTTCATTTAGTCAGAGATAAAACACTATAACAAGAAGTATAAGTAAAACATAACAAAACAAACAAATAATAATTACAGAATTTCTAAAACGTATAAGTGACATGTAATGAAGAATCAGTCAGCATTTGAGCGGGGTGTTACTTTGAAGATCAAAGCAGATTTCCGCGCCTTACCCTTCATTCAAGTTTGCTTATTCTTGGAAACTTAGCAAGTTCTTTTTTTTTCTTTCTTCTATTCAACTTTTTATTTTTATTTCAGACAACATAGTCACCAGACATACACTCACAATATATACATACAAAACATACAATACATAACATAACACAATGACAAAAACTCACTTACCAGGCAATACTGAAACAGATTGCAGATTGGATAGATGCATAGTAAACAGGTTAGACAAAAGACAAAAAAAAAGCAAGCTTAGCAAGTTCTTACTTTCAGCTCTTTCTGGAGCTTCTGGAGATGAGGCTCTGGATTCAGACGCCACCACTCATCGGATGGATCAGGATCAGGTTTACTGAACTAATTCGTCTCATCACCATGCCTCTTTCTATACTATCGCTATGCTATGCTGCTATCTCTCAAGACTGCATCCTACTGGCATTGATAGATCATCACAGGTAAATTCGTAATGTGTCTTAGTATAGTGGCTCATTTGCATTAGACATTACTATAGTGGGTGTTACTATACAATAGAACGACTTTTGTCGTCATGGGGAGACAATGAGTTAATGTAGATAGAAATATGTTGTAATCAAAACCATTACTAAACTAAAACAAAAAGTGTAAGATGAGCTTTTAGTGTTCCCAAGACACTAAAGCTCATCATAACCCAACATAAAGATTTCTATGAAAAGCGAAGAAACTACAAGTACCAAGATCAACCCACTGTTCAATGAGGGAGACGCTGTTTGCATTACAGGTTGTCTTGCTTTTCCACTGTGGTAAGAAGCTGGAACATCATGACAGAAGAGTCCAATATTTGTAAACAGAACCAGCGGCACACAGTCCTGTGTGAAGAGTCCAACTTGTTTTGAGAATTCTTTTGTTTGGCATAAAACCCCTCTATGATGCAAAGATGAAAGTAAAGCCACAGTTATTTAACCTACACACCTCTGTTATCTTCATATCAGCTTTTTCAGCCGATCAGCTCTGATTTCTCAGTATACTTACAAGTCTTATGAGATGAAGACTTTATTGTTTGGACAGACATAATGTGGTTTGTGCATCTCAAATCACATGGTTAAACCAAGAGAGACGAGAGGTTTTTTTTTTAAATCAGAGCAATAATGTATGTTTGTACAACATATTTTCTTCTGGTCATTGGACACTAAATGTATTAATCATTGGTTTATTTTTCAGAAAAACACAAACAGAAGGGACATGGACACTTGGTTGCAAGAGGACAGGAACATAAGATAAAAGGTATGAACCTTATAGGCCTTGCATTCTCCACAATGGGACTGAAAAACAAGACAGTTGACATAAAAGGAATACCATTTTTTAAATAGTGGTCCTCTCTGAACTTCCTGCAGGAGGTAGTCCTGAACCTCCTGCAGGTTAGGGTTAGGATGGCTGGTCCATCGATGATGGCACAGCCTAGGTTTTTCAGCAGGGGCTTAAGGCAAAATGGGGTTAGGTGTCTTGACCAGGGACACAACAACAGCAGACATCAGTGGGAGGAGGTGGAGCGTTTCTTGTGGGGGGATCGAACCCACGACCTTTAGGCCCAAAGGCCAATGCTCTACCAATTGAGAAAAGACTGAATGTTGTTGGTTTAAAGTGGTCCTGCAACTTCATTCTCATCAGGACTCAGCAATCACTGCAGACCCACTGCTTTGGGAGAGACGCCTCCTGGGCCCAAAGCCTAATGGGATTTGCACATGCAACAAATGCATTTACCATGAGCCTCCATGCAAACTCAACATAATCATTTTAATGCGTTTCATCTGTTTGTCTGAGTCTTTCCAGATTTAAATGGTTTTCTTCCACACGCTAATCCATCCCTTGCCTTGTCTATTCCCAGATCATTCAGACTCCGACTCCAGTGAAAGCGCCGAGACTACTTCTGATTCCACCTCCGAAGAAGATATGACTGCCGCTATCAATTACCTGGAAATCCCTACAATCATATCTATCCCCTTTACCACTACGCCAACTACAACTACGACTAAAGGCATCTACCAACTTCCGGGTTAATAATAGAAATACAGTATTAGTAACTGGGTATAGTTACCAAAATTCTGGCTGAAATCTCCAGTCAACATCATGGCCCTGCCACTCCCCTGGGTCCGTGCTAAAGCTAATTGTAAACACTGCTTAATTCTTTCTACCATTTATATATATATATATATATATGTATATATATGATAGATGTACACTCATAAATTAATTGAAGCAAGCATTTGTCTGAGGTTTCTTATTGGGGGTTATGGGATGGTAAATATAGCAAAAAGGTATAGCTTTGAAGATGTAATAGGTTTAGTGTTAAAGCTAACTAAGGTCAGAAAGTACTCAAGAAAGTGATACTAGTAATAGTATTAGTAATATCCAGAGGTGGGACAAAGTCATTGTTTAGCAAGTCACAAGTCAGTCTCAATTCATTGCCCTCAAGTCCCGAGTCAAGTCTCGAGTCAAGACAGGCAAGTCCCGAGTCGAGTCCAAGTCAAAGGCCAACAAATCTCAAGTCAGTCCCAAGTCCTACGGTTTGACTTTCGAGTCCTCTCGAGTCTTTTTGACCGCGATTTGTTTCTTGTTGGTCTCCACGTACTTTTGTAGGCAAACAAAATAATGTTAGGATCATTTTGCTGGTGCATTCTCGTTGGTCTCTGACCCATGGACTAACAGTTTGTTCCATGTCGTTGGCTGCTGGTAAATCAAAACTATCTACGTGATCTAATTGGATGTTGTGCCAGATGCAGGCTCAGTTACACATGCACAGACCACACATAAAATCAGAGCAGTCCGTGTCAACATACTTTTTATCTTTGGGGTTTTTAATGGGAAGTAGCAAGTGCAGCAGTGCAGCATATATGAATATGAGTATTGGGCTAGGACCTGTATCTATATAATCAGTTTAATGTCCGTAGTGGTTATTGTTCCAAAGGACTGAAGGGACCAATGGAGGGGAAGGAACCTGGCCTGTATGAACTGGACCAGCATTAGTAATATCTCATAATTACCAATATATCATTACATAATAAAATGTCTCATATAAATTAATTCAATCAGTCAAAGCACTGATTCTCATATCAATGCACCATAAACAATAGTGCAAATATTAATCTAGCTTAGTGCACATAATCAAAACAACTATCTAATGTATGCAAACTTTAGCAGGAGGAGCACAGCAAAAACATACTCATAATAATAGGCCTCGGCGCCCACACAGAAAAATATAAGAAATAGCCAACAGAGCAGCGCAGGCTAGCGCTAGTTTGACTCACCAGTTCCTCTTTAAAACACGGCACAGAGTGTGACAACTGCGTCGATTCAATTGTATGAGGCGCCTGTAGTGAAAGAATATCAATTACGGTTTGTAGAACAAAATATGACGTTAGGTCGCGATAAATACCTGCAGCTCGCTCATTTCCAGCTCCCCTAGACAACACACCCACCGGTGAATGCAGTCCGCTTGTTTAGGGAAGTGTTGCTGCGCGAACTGCGGGGAACTCACGTTCAAACTCTCTCGCGAGCGCTACAACTACCGCGAGGCTTTGTTTCTTCAGAGACGGCATAGACAGAAAGAGAGATGCGGAGAAAGGTAAAAATGGCCCGGGTTACGCAAGTCTTTGCAAGTCAATTGGCGCAAGTCCAAGTGAAAGTCAGAGTCATTGATGTTAAAGTCCAAGTCGAGTTGCAAGTCTTTTTACATTTGGTCAAGTCGAGTCTAAAGTCATCAAAATCATGACTCGAGTCTGACTCGAGTCCAAGTCACATGACTCGAGTCCACACCTCTGGTAATATCAGTGTCAATGTCATATTTATTTGTATAGCACATTTACAACAACACCAGCGGCCCAAAGTGCTTCACGGCACAAAAGATAAACAATAAAAGCAAATGGCATAAAATACACACACAAATACATGTAAAAAGTAAAACTCAGTTGGTGTAAAAGCCAAGGCGTAAAAATGTGTGTTTAAACTAGATTTGGGCCCCGTCCCAATTCTGAGGGCCCTTGGGTCATTTTTCCGTGCCGATGCAGAAAGGTTTGTTGGACAGTTAGTGTCTAACAAAAATGAACGTGGTGATGATCCAGGACACTTTTACATTCTACAACATAAGATAAGATAAGATAAACTTGTAAGGACAAATGAAGCTTAAGTGCAAATTCAGACTGAAAGACCAGGTGCAACTCCCCCCATCCAGGCCAACCAATCACACAGCACTGCTAGCCTCGAGCCTCTGCCAATCACTCAGCGGGCCAGCCTCTAGCCAACCCTCTGACAGCAAAGCGGGCCGTTTAAAAGGCAGCCACTTCCTGACAAGCACCGCTTTCTGAAGCTCTTAACACCCACCACCTCCCCAGCGCCTCCTCCAGCTCTGGCTCCCGCCTTAGCTCCCGCTCTGGCTCCTGCTCTAGGCTCCCGCTAGATTGAATTATCAACATGGGGGGAATGGTAGTATAATAGCAAAGCAGTTGAACCAACAAGATAATATGAATATAAAATATGATCTTAAAGATAAGTTATTAAATTATTATCATTGTTTTTGTTTTTTTTGTTTAAATGATATAAAACGGCAGGCATAGTGGTGAAGAGATTGGAGGTTTTTTTTCTCTGGCTTAGAGTTTCCAGTTATCACTAATGAACACAAAGATAAATGCAACCTTAACTGAGGAGGATATAAGAGCTGACATAATGTCTATGAAAAATGTATTGCTCTTTCAAAATTTGGGTTTGGGCCAGGGTTCCCCTTTGCCTATCCCCTTTTTTCTTTACCATTTTCCGAGAACCACTTTCTCAAATTTGTTATCAAAGCATTAAAGGGGTGACGGCAGGTGGAATAGAGCATAAGCTATTCTTGTATGCCGATGACATCCTGGCGCTATTAGTCGATCCTGAGCATTCTATACCAGAATTAATTGTATATGTTGAATCATATTCCAAGATCTCATGCTGTAAAATAAATGTGAGTAAATCTGAAAGCATGCCTATCAACATCATGCCATTCTGGACATGTCAATGCTTTTAATTTTAGATCGTTAGCCTCTGGAATGAAATATTTAGGAATACTTTTGATCCCTGACCTGCATGAAATAATGCAGCCAACAATGGCTTATACAAAAAATAAAAACAAACTTGGAAAAATTGAGTACATTTAAATGTTAATTGTGGGGTGACAGTGGCTAAGTTGGTAGAGCAATGACCTAAAGCATTGGCCTAGAGCAGTGGTTCTCAAACTTTTTACACGAAGTACCTAAGAAAATACTTGCCTCTCCAAGTACCACCACAAATGACCAACATCACACAGTAGTAGTAGTAATGAGCTTAAGTATTCATAAAAAAAGGCAGAGGTTTCATTCCTAAAGAAGTTTTTGTATTTGCTTCTCCTTCTACATGGAACGTGTTGCAAAAGACTGGAAATGCCATCCATCCATTTTCTACCCTTTAATCCATTTCTGGGTCAGGGGGGTGGCAATCAGAGATGCCACCCAAGTCTCATAGCACCAGCCCCTCACTGATCCTCTGCAGGTGGTGAGTCCACAGGAGGACGGCTGCTCTCTGAGTGTGAGCACAGCCTTGATCTTTCAGTGGGGGCTTTGGGCAAAGTGGGGTTAAGTGTCTTGCCCAAGGACACAACGACAGCAGTCATCAGTGGGAGTCGGTGGAGAAGGTGCAGAGGTGGGAATTGAACCCACGACCTTCTGGCCTTAAGGCCAATGCTCTACCAACTGAGCTACTGTCGCCCGACAAGACTGGAAATGATCTGACTGTATTTCATACAGACTGTATTTCACTGAAGATGCCTCAAGTGCTCTCAATCTGGATCTGAAAGCATTCAATGAAATACAAGACTGGAAATGATCTGACTGTATTTCATTGAATGCTTTCAGATCCAGATTGAGAGCACTTGAGGCATCTTCAGTGAAATGTAACTGTTTTAGTAATTTTAAAAAATCTGATCTTTATAATCTGTATGTAACTATTTTATAATCTGTAATTGTATGTAATTTTTGTACAGGACTCCCTTAAAAGAGATGTTATCATTGACTGCCAGTCACTTTTGATGACTTCACTGATTTTCAAGACTCACAGAATATTGTGTGCTATGAAAAATACGAAAACAGAGTCTGAAAGACAGGACTGTCTACTTTCAGCAGCAAAAATAAGTTTTTAGCTTGTTTTGTTCTCCTGTGATCTCCAGTCGAAAAGAGGGGAGTGTGACAAAAAGCACCAGTCTTAGACAAAAAGCTGAGAAAATTAGCTGTTTGTGAAAACAGACAAACCTGCAGAAAAGTGACTGTAAAACTATTAAGTTTTACAGTCAGAAAGAATGACCAGTATTCATCCATTAGGTGGAGCTATATTTATGTCAATAAGAGTAAATCAGAGATAAGAAAAACTACAATGAAAAACACAATAAATGACAATAAATCAAGGTGAACAGACAAATACTTATACTATAAGTGCAATAGAATACTGTTGTGTGTCTTTGTGTGTTTGGGCGCGTATGTATGTGCGTTTATGCGCACGTTTGTGTGTGTGTTTGGTTACATCTATAGAGTGTCGTTCGTTTAGTTCAGCAAATGCTGTGACCATAATTGGACTTTGGCGCTGGCTCCTGGTGCACACTCAGTGATAGTTTTAGCAATAGTCCACTTTTCTGTGGCTTTTTTGGGGTGCACCGCTGGTCTGCTGTCCTGACCCTCCACATGGTCTGCTGCTCTGACCCTCTACATCACATGTGTCAAAGTCAAGGCCCGCGGGCCAAATCCGGCCCGCGAATGAATTTTACATGGCCCATGACGCACTATTACGTCAATTGCGTTTTCCGCTACTTTCATGTTCCCAGATGCCTATTATATCTAATATGTTTGGGGATAAGCTTGAGAGCATATTGAATCGAGCCAGCAGGTGGCAGCAGCGCTCTCTGAATGGTTTGAAAACAGCTAGATGCACTTGTTGTGCCTCTTTTTTCTCAGCTTTTTGGTGATTTCAGTAAAACTTCCCTCTACTCAACTGGGGATTACAAGCTA